TATATTATATCTATATATATATATATATCTATATTTAAATATATACTTATACATACATATATATATATATATGTGGTTGTATATATACATTTATATGTTTGTACAAATAGATCTGCTTCTGTATCTGTGTCTATATATGTATGTCTATATAAATATACATTATATATATATATATATCTATATATACATATGAATATAATATATATATACATGTACACACACGGACACACATATATATATATACATACGTACATACATATAAATATAAATACATCATATATATATATAGATATATATATGAATATATATATATATATCTATGTATTTACTGATATATATATATATATATATATACATATATATTGAAGTATGTACTGATATATATGTAAATATATATATATATATACACACATATATATATATCTATTTCTATACTTACATACATACAGACACACACATATATATATACATAGATACATACAGACATACATACAATACATAGATACATGTATACATCCATAGATACATTACATAAATACATAGATACATACTTATACATACACACATCCATACGTATGTACGTACATAGATACATACACACATACATATATACATACATACGTACTTACATACATCTGATTTACATACGTATATACATACATACATGAATACATACATATATACATACATGCATAAATACATACATACCTATATACAAACATGTATTTATGTATCCAAGTATATGTACATACAAGTACTTCTTTGTTTTCGATCATAGTCGTCTGCAAATTAAACATTCGACCTAAATATCGTTACGCTCATGATATATATTATATTTTCTTTGATGATAAAACATTTCCTTTATGTATGTACATAGTTCTGTGTCATTGTATACACTTCTACCCCAACAGTTATATCAACGTATTATATGTACACCTGCATACTTTGCGGAGGTAATCAAATAGTCAAATATAAAAATGAAGCATTGTAGCTTGTAATTCATTGATCCCTTTGTCTACCTATTTCCTTTCGAAGTGGTTTGCACCCGTTTGCTTGGACTGTATTCCTGCTGGTGCATGAGCTACTTAGAGTTTGGCTCTGATTGATTCTGCAAACTCCTTCAGTTCTTCCATTGGAAATTCGAGTGGCTTCCAGCCCACGCCCAAACCTGTTAGTAAGTCGAGTCCGGTGGATTTGATCAATTATACGTACATGAACTGATACATTCATTTGGGCGCTGATAAGTGTCCACCACTCACTAGCCGCCTCCCTTCCCCCCCACCCACCAATAAATAAATGCACACACACACACACACATATATATATACATAAAAGATACTCACAAGCTAGAATAGACCTTGGCAATCGCCTACGCAAGTTCCCACAATTCAACTCAAATCCGAATGAGAATCAGATATAACACATAAATACCTTCGGTGTCATTTGGTTTCGGGATCATGTGAACATGAACATGTTTGACAACTTGATGGGCAATCGCGCCATTATTCTGTAAAATGTTGTAGTCAGTCACCCCAGACGCAACGGCCACGCGCTTGGCAACTGGTAGCAAATCGGCCAGATAATTGTCTGGAATATCGTGCAGCCTTTCCCCACAATATTTCGGGATAACCAAAATATGCCCCTGTTTGTGTTGTAACAAAGTGCCACAGAATAGGGGCGTCTCAGTAAAGGGAGCATATGCAAAATTGTTGATGCTAAATGAGTAGTGTATCTCGATTGAGATTTTACATTTGAAGGCGAAGTAGAGCACTATATTAAAAGAAAAAAACATTCTAAAACATGAACGAATCCAATTTCTCGGTTCCGAAAAGATTTGCCCGTGTACAACAAATAAGCAAGATTTCGTTTTGAGATGCGGTCAGTCTGCCTACGGTTCATGTGCAAGCCAAATCGAAATTCTGGACGCAGCTGGAATGTATCTGGACTGGATTATCATAACCTTGGTACATGCCAGTGATGTGTCAGTGTACAGACTGACCGCAGGTGACAAAACAGAAGAAATATAGTACCTTAGATAACGGCCCGATGTCCAGGAATGAATAGGACAGGTCGGTCTCACAGATCTGGGACAGGGAATGGATAATGATGGAAAAGTCAATAATATTACTAATCAATCAAAATAGTCTGCATAGTGTGTTCGTTAGAAAAAAATATATATATATATATATACATACATACACACTTATATATATATATATATATACATACGTAGATACATACACACACATATATATATATATATATATATAATAATAATAATAATAATA